AAGGGCTTTTATATGTTCTGTTAAATATAAACACAAGAAAACAGTAGTAGTAGTAGTAAGTATTCAGCTGAGTATGTGTAGATGTTACAAATACTTTATAAAACAGTGAGACAAAAGTTTTCATTTTGTACATCAGATTTTAGCGGGTGGTCAGAAAAGAGGAACAATTATGGCAAAAAAGTCTCTTTTTGTCAGAATTTTGAAAAATTCTGGCTGGCTCTATAGTATGTCATCTGTTTTTTATCAGAAAAATCAAAATTTGGAAAATTTCTATTGGCTCATGTTTGCAGGGATTTTTCTTTGGCAAATTAAAATAACCCATGACATTGTTTTATCAAGGTTTATTAAGAATATGCCTAGTAATTCATTTGTAAATCCTTCATTAGAAAACACCAAACACTTTTGCAAAGGATTTTAATAAAGGAGCCATTTTCTCCCATAATACATTCAGGCATGTTTCGGACATAGATTTGTGGATGCTGTTGTTCCAAGTGGAGCTGGTGTCTCCCTATTCCTAAGTAATTGGCCTCTGGTTATGGTCTTGTCTTCTTACATCTTTGTCTCTCAATCAGTTGTTTAAGTTATCTCTGTCTCATCAGCGAACTAGCAGGACATTTCTTGATCTGGCCTAGTATTCCTCTGGGTCTCTTCACCAGATGTTTGGCAGGTTTACTGGATCTCTCTTGTATGCAACAGTCTCTCAATCTGGCCTCCCTGAAGAGTAAGATTGGGATTCTTCAGGGCTGGAAATTGAAATTGTTCCAAAAGATAAATATTTTTCTTGATTAAAGACAAATGTTTTCTTTCAAGATATAGCTCCTTAGTAATCAACATAAGTTTTCAAAGTGCATGTCATTCAGATCTTCCACTAACACAGTTTTCTGTGCAGAGGTAGGGCCAACCAAATTTAAATGTTGACAATAAGGTAAAGATGAAGAAAGAAGAGAATATTTGCATATTAACTGAATAAAAGTAAATTTAGGTTATGTCCCCACATCTCTCCTCTTGCAGTTTTAGTTGTAATTTCAGTAACCAAACTGGCATCCATAATAACAGTTTATTCAACCTTTGAGACCAGACCAGTCTTAAAAAAAAAATAAAAATGGATAAAACTTTTCAGTAAAATGGAACTTTCAGAACAATTAAATTATGGTCTTCTCAGGTCTTTGTAATGCCACTTATCATGTCACAAAGATTCCTTTCCCAACATCAGTGTTCTAAACCGCAGTTAATTTGGGATAGCTATGCAGCATCTTTAGGTCACTCTTGAACCTAACATCAAAGATATTTTCACACCATTCCTATCTTATACGTTATCTCCTAAAGATCTATCTTGGGAATGCAGATAGTTAATAGGCAACAGGTTTAAAACAAACAAAAGGAAGTATTTCTTCACACAATGCACAGTCAACCTGTGGAACTCTTTGCCAGAGGATGTTGTGAAGGCCAAGACTATAATAGGGTTTAAAAAAAATCTGGATAAATTTATGGAGGATAGGTCCATCAATGGCTATTAGCCAGGATGGCAGGGATGGTGTCCCTGCCCTCTGTTTGGCAGAAGCTGGGAATGGGTGACAGGGGATGGATCACTTGATGATTACGTGTTCTGTTCATTCCCTCTGGTGCACCAGGCATTGGTAGCTGTCGGAAGACAGGATACAGGGTTCGATGGACCTTTGTTCTGACCCAATATGGTCGTTCTTATGTCCCGCAAATGGGGAAAAGGGAACCAGCAAACTGTTTGGAGGTGGGAAGATGAGGCAGGTAAGGTAATGGGCAGTGCTTACACACTCACAATGTGATCCTAAAATCAACCACTTTTTCAAGTTTAATGGAAATATTGGTTGGGGGTAACTTTATGTAAACTTCCTATATTTAAGAGAAGGGGAGTGGAAGTGAGGGAGATCCTCCATGTGCTTTAATGAAGAATTTTATTGGCAGACTATTGTAATAGAAATATGGGATGCAATAGCCACAAAAACTGTAAGTCAAAGAACGATAAGGTGAAAACAGTTGTGTTCTCTGCTTTTTCAGCACAGCTATTCCAGTCTCCCACTTATAAAAGGCTGATCAAGAAGTTAAACGGTTGATGGGTGGCTGTGGCTGCTGTCTTTTGAGGTAGGAGTTTGCTCTGATGGATAAAGGCCCATCATCTTGGCAGAGGTCAGGCTGGAAGACTGGAGCAGAGCAGGAGATCTAGTTGTTGGATGAATTTTCCAATTTCTTACAGGGATGGAAACGAGCAAAGAAAATGTCAGGCTCTAAGCTATAGACCAATGAGAATAACTTATTACACTTCAAGGAATGCCAAACCCTAGAGTATGAAGGCAGTACTAACTGGTTAGGCCCATAAACTAGAACATAAAATAAAAATTACGTAAAAAAAAGAAATTATGCACATTCTCATTGCATATAGTGCTAAGATGAACCAAATGAATGACGCTGTCCCCCATCCAAATTCAGTCTTCTCTCAGGTCGTGGGGAACTTAGGTTGTCCATAGAAGATCTTTACCAGGTTCTTCCAATAATTTCGTTTGTTCATACAATCTTGTCTGTTTCAAAGACCATGAAAACCATAAAAGAATCAAGAACCATCAACAACGGTCCAGTTTTCAAAACAAGGTTCCCTGAAAGCACTCAGTCCTTTCTTGAGCATCACTTCAGCGAAGTGATTTTAGATCTGTATTTGGAGTCTGAGAATGAGAGTCCAATTGTCCATAGGTCTTACTCCTTTAAGAGTCACTTTCTTTTAAGCATCATCCACTGATCATGTTGTCATGATAGGCCTGGTCTCCATATGGCATAGGACTGTAGTCACTGTAAGAATGTCAGAACCAAAGAATGGAGGGGGGAAGAGTAAAGGCTAAATCTCTCTCTCTTAGGTAACCCTGTTGGGAAAGTTATGCTATATCAGGTCCTTCTCTACTTTACCATTACTAAGTGCTAGGTGCTCAGGAAAGAGCTGTTTGTTCAAATTTTAATTAGCTGTGATTAGAAGCATTTGACAACTAAGTGTAGGTAGTTTTTCCTGTCTCCTATCTCTACCCAGGCTCACTGGCAATATCAGTTCATATGGTACATTTTGAAAGATGGACATCAGGTTCTCCGAGCCTAGAATATAGTTCAGTTTTGGGTTTCTGTTTTGTTGGATTCTCCAATCCAAAGAGGTCTAATGCTATCAGGATGGATAAGAGGGTTACTCTCATTATATGAGAGTTTCATATTATCAGGCCTGCCAAAGAGACCAATTAGGACATTACTAGTTACAGGTTTTTGCTTCTTTATTTTTGATGAAGTTAATGTAAGTCTTCATAATTGTTCAGACAGCCATATCATTCATGAAGAGGAGCCCACAGAAAGGCCATTGTGTTGAGAAAGCATTTTGCAGACTGTCATTTCAGTTACTAGGAATATAGAAGCCCCATTGAAGTCAATGGGAGTTTTACTATTGACTTCAGTGGGTCCAGGATATTACTCATTGCATTTCTAGGCACTACTCTGTTACCTGACTAACATTTGGATATGACAGTTGTTACATTATGTTGATGACAACTTCCTTGGGTTTCCTGTAGTTCTGCTCTGCATTTTTCTTCCAGTACAGCTTACTAGTCTTGGAAATGTTTGATCTAAGGTCTAAGACTGGACTATTTTGGAGGATGGTTCTTTTCTGCACACTTCAAATGAACAGAGATGTAGGCAAAGTATTGTGTTTTCTAGAGGCCATCAGTTTTTGTGTCAATCCCTATGGGCTATCCAGACTCACCGAGTTAGCAATGAAAGAGAGCTCTTTTTTTTTCCATGGTAAAGTAGCCACCCTTTTTCCTGATTGTTACCTGTTACTGCACGAATTTACAGCACTAATCCAAATTAGTTAACAGTATTTTTTTTTTTAAAGCGCCATTTCTCCTCCGAATTTTCCATCCTTCTTAATCTTCTCTGTTTCTCTTTTTTAGATTGCAAGATCTTTGGGGGCATGGACTGATTTGTATAGTACCATGTACATCTTGGTGCTTAACAAATAAGTCATGACAATAGTAATTAATAATGCCAAACTACCTTTTCTTTACTAGAATCTGATTCCTTACTGTGGCTTTCAGCTATAACTTCTCCCTCTGAAATGCCAAGTGGAGAGTGGAATATTTCCACATCCAATTTTCTGCTCACTTCAGTGGGAACTCTCCAGCTGGGCTGAGAAAACTGTTTCTGCATATCAGTATTACTCAGAAACTAAGACCATCCATATTTTATGGATTTTATTATTTTTAACACACTGAAATAATGGAAAATATTTGTAATGTTTTATATCAGCTTTGTGTTAACATATTTTTTTATTTCCTCACAACACTTAAAAAAATTATGGTGTTGAAAGAAAAAAAAATGTGGTCACCAGAAACCATCTATTTCTCAGTGCTCACAGAGATTTTGCTAGAATTTCATTTATAATAATTCTTTAAGGGTCTGAGCCATAGCCCTTTGAAATCAATGGAAAGATTCCCTATTGACTTCAATGGCACACTGGATCAGGCCCTAAAAGATTTCTGTGCTGAACTGCACTGCTTGCAATTCAGTATTTTAAAGGTGTATTTAAGCTGCAAATATGCTTCCTGGGCTGCTTGGTTTGCTAGGGTAGAATTTTCAAAAAAATCTGTTTTGGTTCTTCTGAAATTGAACTTTTCAAAAATGTCTGTTCCCTGGAAAAATCTGAATTTCCAGCTTCTTCCAAATCAGAACAAACAACCAAACAAATCAGAAATGTGAAATTTCCCAAAGGATGGAAATTCCAATTCCCAGTCTATTCACACTTTAGAAGATTCCTCTACTTCGAAAGATTCTGCCAATCTGAGAGCGATTGTCTATACTTAAAATGGGGAATCATTCTGGGACTGGTAATGTCTCTCAAAACAGAAGAAAATTTTGAATGTGACCTCTGCATAGGATGTGAATAGTGGTAGTTACTGTAGCTAACCATCATTATGTTTTATATCTATTTTGTCTTCTAGATACATGCTCTGCAAGCTGAACTCAATTTCCATAGAAGCATGTACAACCTCCAAGTTAAGTACACTGAAGCTGTTTTTGAGGGGATAAAGCAAGCCTACCACACTTTTCAAGAGAATGTTGTGTCAGTTCTATGTTCACCGCTACAAGGTTAGTGTGTGTTTTTGTGGTATTTCCAGCAGCACAAACTGAAACCAGTTGGAAAATACTGATAAGCATTAAATAAAAGATCTGCAAAGCTGTAATTTACAATCAGCACCAATCCCACCTAGCACCAGTTTTTCTTCCCTGGATTTTAAATAATCCTTTCATGCGTATATTGGATTTTGTATGCACACTTGTAGACTCAAAAATTCAAAATTCCTTACACAAAATACATAATAATATAACAATATAATATGGCATTCATAATGAAAATAAGAATGTGTTTATTACTTTTTATTAAAAATTTTTCTTGGGAAATAAATATATGTAAAAATCCATCCTACATATGCAGTAGGAACTCTAGTGTGGGTTTTTTCATATTTTCTTTATTAAGTTTTCACGAAGAGTACAAAACAAACTAAAATCTAATGCAATGATGAAGACATTTAAATTAATAAAAAATCATTACAGCCCATATCACAACAAAGGAATGCAAATATACAAGTCTGTTCTGTCTCTTTTCTTTTTCCTTTCAATTTTAGCACAGAAAAGTCCACAACCATATGTTCATTATATACTAGTTACAAATGTGATCTTAAAAAAAAAATAGTAGTAAATAATTTAGAGAGGCAAGGTGGGTGAGGTAATATCTTTTATTGGACCAATTACTGTTGGTGAAAGAGACATGGTTTCAAGCCAGAGCTCTTCTTCAGGTCTGGGAGAGGTACTCAGAGAGTGGTAGAGTGTTGTAGGTAACAACATTACTGACTCAATATGGAATATAAATAGACAAATTTAAAATGAAGTGTTGACAAGCTGATTTCTACTTTAGTTAATAAAAAAATAAAAATGCAATACTGCAAATGCTGTTCACTCTCTAAAGGTGTCTCTATTTTAAAAAAATTCAGCTACTTTTATGCAAAAATTCAGCACCTCATCCCACGTAAATTGGCATAGTTTGTGCTAATGAATCAAGGTGGAATTTTCAATCCTAAGTGATACTCACCATGCTTATGGGATAAACTTTCTCATCATTTTGCAGCCATTCTGTGTTCATATGTACATACATAGACACATAAGTGTACTATATATCTAGACTTCCTTGTAGGAAGTGCGGAGCGATTTTTTCCCCCTGTACTGTTGTTGTATTTCAGCTGTCAGAACTGGGCTTGCTCTCCAGAGTACACTAGATAACATGCCTGTTCCTCTCTCTGTCTCTCCTCCACCCCACTTTCTTTGCAGATGTTCTTTCTTCTTACATAAACCTTAAAGCGGAAACTTCAGTGGTTGCTTTAAGGGACTTTCTCACTGCTTTTAAAAACAATGCCAAACAGATCCAAGATACAGTTGACACTTACACTCCATCAAAGAATCAGCAGCACAAAGGTAATAATTGTTATTTGTTCAATTTAAGACAGCAAGAAATGAAAAAAAAAATAGCTGTTTTCAGTATTCCTGAGTCTGTAAAAACAAGTCATAGGTTTTGGAAGGAAAGTAATTCCTCTGTGCGTTCTTACAGACTAAAGTCATAGTATATTCTAACCTCAGTTACATGGGATAAAATCCAGAGTAGCTGCACTAATGTCAGTGAAGTTATTCCAGATTTACAGTGGTGCAATGTGAGCAGTATTTAGCTCACCATTGCTTTACTGTTTAGTCTTCCCTGTTGTTTATAGCTTTATTAAAATTGTACTAAAACTCTGAAGGATTGAATGTTTTCTTTTTCATTATTTGTATATTTGTAGTGAATTTCAATGACCATGAAATTAAGAAGCCGATAACATTGGATGGAGGCCCAAGTATTTAGGGATGTAGTGGATTCTCCATCACTTGCTGTCTTTAGATCAAGACAGGATGGCTTTCTAAAAGAGATGCTTTAGCTCAAACAGAAGTTATGGATTTGATGTAGGAATTATTGGGTTAGGTTCTTTGGCCTGTGTTATGCTAGAGATCAGACTAGATGATCATAATGGTCCCTTCTGGCCTTAAAATCTATGATGTATAATGCAAGTACTTGTAATATTCAAGCTTTCCCCCACATGGTTCAGCCATAGTACCTCAATTCTGACATACAGTACTCCTGACATGCCATTTGAGGTCCTCTTCTGTGCTCTGGCTCCTAACTCTGTTTGCATTGTGGGTAAATATCAGCTAAGGACTGGGTGCCTGATCTTGCAAAGATTTAGACGTAGGTGTGAATGATTAATCTACAGGAGTTGTTCCATGGACTTATCACATGGGTTAAATCACTCATGTGCATAAGTGTATGCAGGATCAGGCTGTAGGGTAAGACCACCAAATATATTATACTGGGAATTTGGCATTGAGCCCCATCATCTGGAGATTAGTGCATTAATCTCCTTAAAAAATCTCAGCTGCTTTAAGAGACTGCAATTAGAATTAATAAAATCTGAAAAATGAAATCCTATTGTTAAAATAATTAAACACCTGGGGCCAGATTCCAATCGCATTTACATTAAATCTTTCCAGTCCATTGACTTCAAGAGAGTTACTCTAGATTTACACTAGTGTAACTGAGATCAAAATATTGCCCTTGAAGTTTTGATTTGTTTATTACTAGAAAGAAAGATATCTTATCTCAGTGACTGAAAAACATTATCATGCTTTACTACATTACAAGGATGATTTCAGGTTGCAGTTACCATACAGAGCATTAAGCTTTGAACTTCTAGAACAAATGAGAGCAAAAATTTAAATATTTCCTAGTTTTGTAGGTATGTTTCTTAAAGGTACAAGTTACAGTTTTTATGGCGATAAAAAGTAGTTAAAAATAGTAATACTTGAACAGAAGTTCAGGTTTCTTTTAATTTATGGGAGAGAAATAGTAAATTTTGTGACTTTCAGGGTATATTACATGTAAATAGCAGAAGTTCACAATTCAGGGTTCATATTTAGACTACTTTGGTTCTGTTTTTGACCCTTTACTATCTTAGCTATGGGATACTACTGTTGATTATTGCACACTTTTGGTGGGATTTTCCAACGTGCTCAGCATTGGTCCAATTCGGTTCTCTTTGAAATCAGTGGGAGTTATCCCAGTGACATAAATGGAGCAGAGTAGGCCAGTCCTGAGGAGTTTTATAAAATCCTCCCGACTGCTACTCTGAGAAACACTTTTTATTCTTTCATCTGCCACCAGCAGCTCATGAGAGTAGTGCTTCACTTGAACCTTCCTACAGATGCTGAATACCAGGATAGGCAACATTTTCAGATGTCATGATTAAACATTGTGTGTAAAATCATCTGTGTCTTGACACATTTTAGTAGCACAGAACAATCTATTTCCTTCACGACCAAAATGCAGCCTTTTGTCTTTATCATTTAACAAAACTACCATATATGACTTTGACGGTGTTTTTAAAAAACATATTTTAGTGGTTAATTACTTTCATATATGCACTTTACAGTGTAGAACATAATAGTCAAGTGCCAGTACATTTTATTCAAGGGCTAGATGATTGGGCTAGATGATTCAGTGGAATATCACTCTAGACTTTAGTCTTTGAATACCTGGGCACAAATCTGTTTAAATCATCAGTAAAAACATATTTTGTTTGTTCGTTCATGTCAAAAATCTCTCATATGATTTACAATAATTACCTTAAAAACTTGCTGATTGGCTATCAATAAATCAATACAGTTGCGTCAGTTTGGGCATTACTTAAATTTCTCTATACCATATTTTCAGTATTACTTATAGTAGGAAGATTTTAAGGTGACTGTTACAATACAGTATAAATTACTGGCCGTCTGTTCAGGAGATGCTTGATGATTATATTAATATTCAGGATTGCTGTGCTGAGTAAACTTCGGGAGTGCCTACTCACACTGTGTCTGCCTTTAGCTATCACAGGTGAAATGTGCTCCCTGCATCGAACAGCTCTAATAAGCTGTAGTTGCATTCATAATACATAAATAAAATGAGGCTTGTATATGTTTCTAAAGCAATTGCACTCCAATTTTCATGTAATCCTGGTATTCTAATAAACTCGAACATTTGTAGACCTACCTAGAAACAGTGAGTTGATGTACTTCTGGTGGCACACATGAAGTAAGTTGATAGTCTCAGTTCCTAGAAGACAAGTATCCATCTCTAGTGATCTGGTAGCTTGTCCAGAAGCCAAGGGCTTAATGGGCAAAGAAACTGAACTATCTTCTTGCTGTTAGAGATTGGCTTTACCAATCTCTCAATACAAATAATATTGAGCCACATTGGTTGTGGTAGTTGTAGTTATCTTTATGCCTACCATGGTGCCTAGGAACTCCACTCATGGACTAGGACCCCACTGTGCTTGGTTCTGTACAAATAGAACAAAGAGACAGTCCCCCACCCAAAAGAGCTTACAATCCAAGCATAAGAAAAAAGATGGATACAGACCGATCGAGGGAGGCGCTTGTTACAAGGGGACAGTGAGGCATGATAGGTTAGCAGTGCTCTCTGCACACCAGCGTACTAGCTGTCAGGAGTCAGGGCCTGCAGCAGATCCAGTAGCTGGGCAACCTAATGAGTGCAGCTGGCCTGTAGTAGTCTATCTCAGTGGCCCTCAATCCTTCCGGGCTACTGTACCCCTTCAGGAGTCTGATTTACCTTGCGTACCCCCAAGATTCATCTCACTTAAGAACGATTTGCTTACAAAATCAGACATAAAAATACAAAAGTGTCACAGCACACTATTACTGGAATTGTTTACTTTCTCATCTTCACCATGTAATTATAAAATAAATCAGTAGGAATATAAATATTGTACTTACATTTCAATGTATAGTAAATAGCGCAGTATAAACGAGTCATTGTATGAAATTTCAGTTTGTACTGACTTCGCTAGTGCTTTTTATGTGCCTGTTGTAAAACTAGGCAAATAACTCTGTGTACCACTGATCTAACTGGTTGGCTACACTGCCTGATTGATTGGAAGAGTCAGCAGACCAGCTCCTAAACCCAACAACAGTTCAGTGGCTGCTCAAAACATTCGCCCATGGCTGAAATATCTCCTGCTCTTGCTTGTTCCCAGCCTTGCTCCTGCCTTGGACCCAGCCTTGCCCCTGCTTTGTCTCACTCCAGGTAACCCAGTTCTAACCATCGGCTCTGACTCCTGACCACTGACTTCAGCTCTGACCCTTGGCTCTGGCATCGGGCCTTTGACTCCAGTTCTGACCCTGGGCTCTGACTCCTGCTGTGACCCTGGGCTCCAATTCCTGGCTACTGACTCCTGTTCTAACCACTAGGTCTGACATCTGTTCTGACCACTGGGCCTGACTCCTGCTCCAGCTACCCACATGCTGGTCATGTGACACTGGCTGTTATCAAGTTTTTTGTAGACATCACAGCAAAGGAGAGTTGAAGGAGGGATTTGAAGGAGCATGGTGTAGTAGCTTTGTGGATGTTTACTGGGAGCTCCTCCCAAGCATGAGAGGCAAGATGGCAGAAAGAACAAAGGTTGGTGATGGAGGCAGGCAGTGTTGTGTCACTATGGCACTTTTAAAATTAATTTAGTGCATGTAAACATTATTCAGAGCAAAGAGGGGAAAACAGTAATTTTTCATTGGTGGAGCAGTGTTGTTTTAGTGGTTTGAGCATGAGAGTGAGAGCCAGGAGACCTAGGATCTAGTCTCAATGCTGCCATTGACTCAGTGGGACGTTTAGCCAGTTACTGGACTTTTCTCTGCTTCACTTTTCCCATTAGCCACCGATCGTGCTTTTTTGTAGCTCTGAGGTTCGCAGATGAAAGGTGCTTTTTACGTGAAGTTGTATTATTTATTATGACTGCAAAGACAACTGCATGAATTCTGCATATTTTACAGTATGCTCAATAAATACTTGCAGATTACATTATTGGGTATTTTTTGCTTAAATAGTAGCAAGTATGTATTGACAGATTTGTTAATATGTTTTAAAGTTTTACCATAATTCTTCAGTTATCTAAATTGGGACCTATTAAATCCGTTTTGGAAAATCCTCCAAGCATGAAATAATTTTATGCATTTTCTAATCTTTTCATCTCTCAGTTTGTGATCAGACTACTGGGAAGAAGATAAAGATTCAGGTTGACTGAGCATACACAGCTATTACAGTTTGGGTTAATATAGTTTACAGCAGGAAAAGGACTACAAATCTAGACAATGAATGCTTACTTTGCAGTAGCTTCAGGGTCTGAGGACTGACTCTTCAGCCCAGGACACGTCCCCTTTGTGCTCCTTTACAAAGGGGATTTAAAGCTGTCCTAGAAGACTCTCCCAGTGCCTTGAAGTTGGCATCGCTACCCATGCTTCTTTCTCTGCAGGGGACTTTCTGGGTCAGGCTGAGAATGGAGGGTGTGCATGTGTTCCACCTGGAATCAGTTAAAAGCTGCGAGTAGCTGCCTTAA